GGGACAAAATGTGGGACACACACACAAACACACACACACATACACACAAACACACACACGCACAGAAAACCCCGTAACAATATGCGTTTTGCAACGCTGTTACACAGCACAAAACGCATAATAAAACCAAGCCCACAAAGTGAGGGATTTTTATCTCCTGGAACGAAAACTCACAGTTATTGCTTGTGAGGTCAATGCAAGTGACTGGAACCAGCCACGGAATTGATCGCCACCTTCTACAACAAGGTCAACTTGTTCATCCGGCCTGTCACGCGTTGCACTCCAGGCCATGCCACTATCCATCCATACATCCATTATATCATGGGATTTCTCCAATTTTTCGTCCGCCCCAATTCCATACTTATCGCGTAACTGAAAATAATTCAATCTAAGTAATTTTGGAGCTGCGCACTGCCTGGTGGTTGAGCAACAACGGTGATTTTAGCATCTTCTGGAATCTTTCGAAGAATGCTGATCAAACAATAATTCCATAAAATATATATATATATGTACGCGCAACATCAAGAATAACGCGATATTTGGCGTCTCGTAGCGACAGTAAAATAGTTCATCGTGGCCCAGGAACGAAAACGTACTGAATGGCTTGCTCAGTTTGCGCCAAAGACAGAAATTTCGAAATAGTTAAAGCCTATCCAAGTAAGCTTGCTATTGGAATAACCGTCAAACAAGTAATGCCCCCAGAAAACGAAACAAACACCAGGACTGCCAGAAAGATCGGTCATATACGAATCTGTCGCACTCCTCTTCAATGCATCGGCCCGCAAGCTCGAGGGGCGCTTTCGGGATGGTTCCGCAGGGACGCTTAACGGGCACCCTGCTATAATTGAGCCCACTGGTCTAAGCAACTGGAAAAGCTGTCAGCTGTACAACCAACGAAGAACTAAATCTTAGCTATTATCCCAGCTTCTCCCGGGTTTCCCACACCACAGGACTGTCAGGCAGGCTGGCCTCTAGGTTAACCCTGGAAGTGTAGATGACTGAGTGAGAAGTTAGGAGAAAGCAGTGGTGTAGTATTGTGGAAGGTAAGAGCGAGATAAGACGTTATCAGGACTATCTCGAAAATCGCTATGGCTATTCAGTATCAGTGCAGAGCAGAAAGATGAAACAAAATGCTAAATAAGGAAGACCATACCCCCGCCTCATTAATATCACGATGTTGAAAGCAATGACGTACGGATGCTCAATCAGGTCAAAAATCAAAATAATA